GTACTGATCTCATTTACTGATGCTTCCTAAAAGCCTAAGTGCTTACTTTATGGAGTTCAAATTCTAAAACTGAGACAAACATCATGTCTGACATTTAGTAGGATTACTTACTTCACCGTGAGTACTTAAGTCTTTGCTGTAGAAGTATACTTTAGGGTAGTAACTAACAGTGGAGCAAGTAGTGACCTCTTCCCCTGCAAACCTGTCCGGTGCTTCTGCAAGAAGACAGCCTAAAGGACATGAGAAATTGGAACAGTGACAACATTTCAAGAAGGGACAGGCTTTCAGCCAGCCTTCAGCAGGTTATGTTCGGCAAGGGAAGACCTAGAAAATCCCTGTACAAAGCTTTAGTTTTAGCCTTTTCGGATGAAAAAGATCCAGCTTTAATATGAACAAGAGATAAAACTACCACTAATTCAGGCTTGTATCTTTCTCCAAGTATGTCCAGAAGATTCAGATTCTCTTTTGATGGAACTGGGCTGGGCTGGGCTCTGGGTACCAAAGTATCTGAAAGTTTTATGGTCAATTTGACACTGCTGTGCAAGAGCAAGTGGTGACTGTGTAAGATTTTTTTCATTTTTTGGGGTAACAAAAATATTTTCAGAGCATGAACATAACAACACTGACAAAAATCATTTAAGTCACGTTGAATTCTCTAGGAATGTTATTTCCTAATGAAGCAAGTCCTCTCAAAAGTGTGTGTCATCTTGATGTCTCAGTGTTTTGAATTAACTAGGTAAATGAGGAATATGGTGGTAAATAAAGCAGAAAATGAACTTTCCTGCAGTTTTGTATATATTAAATTGACATAACTTTGTGTTAAATACAAGGCAAAATATTGAATCTGAGGATCACATTATTGAATAGCTCAACTGACAAGTAAATATATTTTGTCAGCTGAAATGAAAAGGCAGCCCACAAAGACTACCCATTACCTCATTATAATAAATTGCAGTTACTGATACTAGAACTCGGACTTCAAAGTAAACTTGAACAATAATGCCATGAGAGTTTGACAGCGCATTCAGAAGAGCGTGAAAAAACAGTGTGAAATTGGTACATAAACCTCTAAAAGTAGCTACTCTTCAGCCTTCTTAAACACATTTCTACATGGACTAATTGGATGTATCACCTTTGCATGACAGATATACCTACAGAACCCATGAGC